TCATAAAAACTCATCACGTTCACTTGATCTAATTAGGAAGAGGCATCTAGGGTACAACGGAAGCTGGACTCTAAAGCAGAACAGGAAGAGGGTGGAAGAGACTGGTCCAGTTAAAAGTATCAGACCTACTTCAGCTACAGATGTGTATCTGGATCAGAGCCAAAGGGATTCAGTGTCCGGTAAAGAGTAATCCTGAAGTCCACGCAGCAGAGGTTAGGACAAGAGGGTCTGCACGCCATATCCCCTTCAAAAAAACAAACACTTACAGGGCGTCTCCTGCTAAAAGGTAACGGTGGCTCCGTCAGACGAGCATGGCCGGATTGATCCGATTGATACGGTGGACAACACGGGAACCAGCAAGTGTGTGGCTGTCCTGGAGAGAGCAGGAGTGTGTGTTTGTGCCTGCGAGGTTGGGCGGTCCCCCAGTCAGCTGGGTGAGCTCCTATGCATACGTGTCCACGAGTGTATCTTGTCTTGCCGCACGTTTACGGTTTGAGGCCTGCCGATACGAGGAAGCCTGGAGCTCCAGTGACAGCAGGCAGCCTATATTCGCTTCTACTTTGGCTGGCTTCAGTCCTCTGCTTTATCCCTCGCACGCAGACACCGGTAGAGGCAGAGAAAAGCTTTTATCTCCGGCTGCTGCAGCTTCACACTCTCTTCTGCTCGTTCTCTCACAATCAACCCCTCCCTCCTTTGCTCTCCTCCTCCTATTGGCTTCCTCGTTACTCCTGCCTCTCTCTCTCTCGCTCTCTCTCTCTCTCGGCTGTAAGTGAGCAGCTTTCTATGCCACAAAACACACAAACGCACACACACTTGACCCAAAAGCTTCCCTCAATGACAGCGAGCAGGAGAGAAATCACATCTTAAGACTGTTGAGTCTCTGCAAAATAAATGAGAAGCGGGGGAGCACTTCAATCTATTTCTCCCTCACTCTATTCCCATCGCCTCCCTTCATCTGTCCATCAGGCTACAGGTTATGAATGGCTCCGGGGTGGAGAGGAGAGGCCCAGGGATTGAATGAGGAAAGAGATTTGAGGGAATTAAGAGAAAGTTGAAAAGGACAGAGGAAAACCAGGAGGGGATTGTTGGAGGATGGGAAAGGATCGAGAGCTGAGTGGAAAAACACTTTGACTCAACGGAGATATTTAGACTGTTTTAGACCGTTAGCTAAGCTTTTCAAATCTGTGGTTGTATTAGGTCGTGGCAGGATTTTTAATGGCAACATGGAATCTGTAGGATTTCTGCATCAATGTGATTGAGTACCTGGATTTAACAGCGATAAATCCAATGGTTTGGCCCAAAAAAGCCCTTTCAATAGGATTTTTTAAATCTATAAACGCTTAGTACTTTGCAATTTTCAACAGAGGTATTAAGTGTTTCGGTTCAAGCTCCTCAATTGTGATAATTGTATATCTATTATACATTATATCTTTATATCTTGGACTCTAAATTGGAAAAAAACAATAACCCAATGACGTCATGTGTATTGGTAATTTCTGACATTTTATAGATAAAGACATTTCATTCTTTACAATTTAGTCGGTAATGGTAATGGAAACCGCTCAACATATTTAAAAGCACAAGCAGTCTTAGAGCCTCTATAGGCACCCACCCACCCTCACTGCACACACTGTAGGTTGAATAACCCAGCTCATACATACATGAGATCATGTACAGTGCAACATGGCAGTACCACTGCAGGAGAAAAAGAAATGTGTCACCCACACAGCAGATGAATCAACTCATGGTACTTTGCATAAAGTAAGTGCCTAATGTATGGGGAATGTTTTCAGAGAGACAGATATGGATGGAGACCGCTAACAGGCGGAACTCTCAAGTGGGAAAAGCAACGCAGTAATCCATCTTCTCTCATTACCCGAAGAACAGAGAGCATAAGAAAACAACACGCACAAACATACATATGAACCATGGGAGAAAAGCACAAACCAAGCCCCTGAGGCTTTCATCCATTCACTGTGGATACATGGCATCATGAGCTATCAGAATGCAGCTTTCATCTGAACCCAGCTTTTCTCAAGACGAAACCACTGCATGTTGGATTTTTAGAAGCTCTTTGATCATATATCAGGCAGCTCTTTTGTCGATTCTGTGCACTGGAGCATTGTGATTGATCTTGATATTTTAATTATCATAATTAAGGCTCCATCTGCCCTCAGAGTAGTTTCATTCTTACATCCCAAAGCTGTTCTGAAAAGCCCATTTGTAAAATCCAAGAAAAGCCTTTCCACCACTAAAACAATTAGTATTTATGTGACACACACTTCGCTATAATGTAGATACCCTGGTTTTTCAAGCACTTGAAAGCTACTCTGGTGTTTTTAAGTACTACAATATATTATGCCATGTTGCTCATACATGACAGAGCCTGTAGAAGGACATGCCTCCAACTTATTTTATTAGTAAACGAGTGCCAATAAATGACTGAAAATAAAAATAAAATCCATCTAATTTGTGTTGCTTAGAATCCTCAAGACTATTTTAGAGGGCTAACAAAACATTAGCTAGACAAATAAGGTTTGCATTAAAGATGTTTTTTTAAAGAACTGAATATAAACATCTGCAACATCATTTTACTCGTCATATTTCTTTCCGCTATATGGTGGGAATCGTTGGCAATCAATTGATGCAACACAGTTCTAAATTGCTAACAATAAGGAACACTTATAGAGCGACCCTACCTGCTGATCCTGCCTTGAAGCAAGTCATATCAGTGTTGAATTACCTGGTAATAAATTAGCAGTGAGGTGCCACCAGCTTGGCCAATCACAGGCTAGAACTGTGCAGCATGGTTGTTTCCGATTGGCAACAGACAAGCCAGACCATCTTTAATACTGAGCTAACTGCTGTCACTTAGTGGTTTGCCTGAGTAACTACATTCAATTTAAAGCTTTGCTGCAGAAATAAATGTTTTTTCATTTTAATTGCATTGGATGAAACATGAAAGACAAGCTGGAGCTGACAGATATTTCCTGGACAGACACAAATAATTAGCTTTGAGTTTAACACAGTTAGACAGTAGGATTGCTGACTAGGAAAGTTATCCGAGTCAGCTGACAGAGTGAGGTAACGCAGAGATAACAACTCATCTGTAACTCGATGTGTCAGAGAAATAATGACTTACACCAACATTAAAAACGATAGCTCACTGAAAGAATTCCTATAATTAAAAGTAATTTGATGAGTCACTTGTTTGCACATACCGGCCACAAAGGCCATGAGGCACAAGAAAGAAATATATAACGTATTGAAATATTAAGATACTTCAGCAGTGACAAGTATTCACTATTAAACTCTAATGTATGTTATACTCAAATTGTATTAGAGTCAGAAGAAAACAAACACTTTTGTAACAATATGTATTGTGTATTGCTCTGAATACTGCACATCAAAACCACATGTTTAGAGTTTGATAGATGATATGCTTACAAAAAGTGATGGAAGATGTCCTTGAGGAAGATGTTACATTGTCTCTATTTGAATATAGCAGAAGTAATTCCAGATGTAGTTCTGATTCTAGGGATATGTTGTATACTTTGCAGTGTCATTGTACCATGGACAAACTGACATAGGTATGCTGCAGGCACACAGAGCCTCTCACTGCAGCAATGTCATCATCTTGCTTTGCAAAAGAATTCCCTCTTTCCACCTATTTATTTATTTTCCCCTACTTCATTCATTTCCTCCAGACCTCCTCCAGCCTGTCAATCATCCCTGGGGTTAGTCCTCCATCATCACTTCATCCCTCCCCCTATCTCTCTGTAACACCATTTTTCTGCTGAGTCATGCCCACTGGAACTGTTGCAGGGGTGTCACGCACTACTGTTTCCGTAGCAACCAGCTGGCAGTGTTACCTTGCTAAGGGCCACGTTACAGCGCAGGCTACTGGTCGAACATAGCCACTACAACTGCTTTATTAACCTTTCTAATATCCACAGGAGAATAATGTTCCAGCAACAAAACATAGAATTAAAAATAAGACGCTAAGAATGTTTTGGTTCAATTATTTCAAAAGTCTTGTAATAATTAGTTTTTGGCTGTAATAGGGCTGTCATGCATGAAAGGTAATGGGAGTCCCGCTGTAATGATTTAAACAAGAGTACAACTCTGTATGCCGGCTACAGATGGTGACGCAGAGACAGGTGACAGATATTCCACATCAGGAATCAGAAAAAATAAATTCAACAGTTCAAATGATTGACTGTCTGGATTAATAAAAACAAGACATTTGTTTTTATTTTGCAGTGCATTTTAGCTGAAATGTTGATTTTTTTCATAATCCTTAAGGTTAGGTCTAAGAACCGTTTTCCTTTTTATTTTGTTTAGGAGGAATGTGAATTATATTTTTTTAAAAGGTCCTATATAAACCATTTGGTACCCAAAGGACTAAATCTCTCCCAAAATGATAACACCATATGTTAACTCAAAATCCCTGAAGAAAACTTGTCTCGCATGCCTCTAAGGTAAACAAGAAAATAAGAAAACTTGAGAATATTAAATAAATGGGGGTGGTTCAACAACAGCAAAATGAGACTGCAAAACTCTCTGCTCACAGTAAGAGTTTGAATATTGTTACTGGAAAGACTGAGGCAATGACATTTAAACAACACTGTCCAAAAACACTTAAGACTGAATGTTTCTTGAGATTCAACAGAAAAATATTGAAATACACACACCATGTTGCTAAAAGTCACCCCTTTTCTTACATAACACACACAGAACTAAGCTCATCCTGGCAGCGCTAATAACTCAAATCCCAACAGCAGGACAGAGATCCTTATTAACAACAGGACAGCATAGAAATAAAGTCAACATTAAGTTGTCAAGAACTAGATATAAGAGCCTTTAGCCTCCTGCTAAGCGTTTCAAATGAAGAATACAATAAGTTATCTTGCTGCTGGTTAGACGTAAATGACCATTAATCGAGTCCAACAGAGGAAACAGAGCCAGAAGCTACAGATCAGCGTGTGAGGGGGACAGACCTGGAAGTGAAGGATGATGGTCCAGATGAGACCTAACGTCAGCTTGGGGTTCCCGTCGGTGATGTCATCGTTTCTGATGTTCACAAGTTTGACCTGAAAATGGACAAATTAAATATTTTTGGTTTGTTTTCCTCACAAATTGCTCAACATGGCATAGGAAACAAGATACAAAAAGGTATTTAGCACATGAACAAATACACACTGAGAAGAAAACCCATAACTCCTCCTTATTTCTGCATGTTATGCATGAAAATGTATCTCTGTTCCCGATCTCTTGCCCATTATGTGAGAGACCTTGTTAAATCTTGCGGCTCCAGCTAAGCCGAGCCACCCACACTATACAATTAGACCTGCGGTGACACTCGGTAAGGATTCAGAAAAAAGAAAAGGTCATTACTCCCCCGGTGCTGCCTCCAAGGAACGACTCAAAGAGACAAGAGATGGTTTTAAAAAGAAAATGGGGTCACTAGAGATATGGAAAAAGAGCTGCAGCTCTGGAGTAAACGAGAAGATGCAGTCTGAGTGAGACAGAGATAATTGGTGATCATGGCAAGCAAGGAAACAATAAAAGATGCACTAGGTGAGAGAATAGGGTTGCAAAGGGTCATCCAATCTCTGACACATCTTTGCACTGCAATTTAAATAGTAAAATCTTACCTTTACATAATTAACTAATCTCGGGGAAAACACATTAAAATACTTGGATTAATTACATGTTTGATTACAAATATGCCCATTCAATGTAACTCTTACCATGCACAGTGCACTGCATTCTCCTAGCACACGCGCAGCCCATGCTAACAATACTGCACTGTCTGAGCCAGGACTACATGCTTTCATGTCCAGTAATTTTATAACTGGAGTGAATTTATTTTATATTTTATATGATGTTTTAGTTACATAGCAGATAGTAGCTTGAAGCAAAACACACAGTTTTTTCTTTTACTTTCAACCGTCTGCTAGTTCTTGCTGGCTAGCTGTGAGATGTAGCTTATTTGAGCTTGTTGAGGAGTTTTAATTCATTATTTCAATATATTCTTGACAGTAAAACATTTCCTTTATCAAATGAACACAGCCCACATTGTTGTCTTGAGTTTTCAAAGTACCTTTAGCTTTAGTAAGTTATCTTGCTAGCTAGCTGCCATGTGGTGAGTTATTAAGCTAGCTAGCTAACTTAATACATGGCACATTTCATACTGTATGTATGTTACAACATTTGAAAATGTACTGGGCAAATTAATGGATTATGTTTGTTTATGATATGGTTAACGGTTAGTTTCTATCTCCATATCATATAGCTTTCATGTTATTTTACAGTATTCACAAGAGTTTAAATTCAAGTGATGGGCTATACCCCCCTCAATTAGATGAAGGGAGGAAGTCCAGGTTCAAAACTTAAAGATGTACTTATGGACACCACACAAGATTGAAAATTACAAATAGGACATAAACATTTATTTTTGTCTATGTAGCAACAGATCAAAAAGTGTGTGTGCGTACCTGTCTCTGTTTGAGGAAGTCCAGCGCTATTTGGACATTCTGTAGTCGATGAAATCTCATGCGCCCCTTTTCTCTGGGCTGGAAAGGAAAGAAAGGAGAATAAAATAATGAGAAAAATCAACAAATTAATTTAAACTCAGTCTTTTTTAGTGAAACAAACGCAGAAGGCAGCAGTGAGTGCAAAAAAGCTGATTTCAATCCACAGTGCAGTGAAGTAAAACGTCAGCGCAGGGGACATGAAATGGTCCTCTGGGGAGCGCTGTCTTCAACAAGAGCTATTAAAGACAGGCCAGAACTCAGCAGCAAACTACACCCAAACCATGCTGCTAAAGAAGGAACAATGCAAACCTCAGATCAGATCAATTTACACCTTTCCTTTATACAACGTTACAGTTTCACAAACAGACACCCCACTCAAGGTTTAGAGCACGAAATAAGTATAAGAAGAGAGTAAAGCAAGAGCGAGAACACACAGAAAACACTTAACAACCACACTCTTGCTGCAAACAGTATGTGAGTGCAGGATGCAGATGTGGGTACACACTGTGCTGGTAAAAAGAAGGTACACTCAGGATTAGTCATCACATCAGCAGGAGGGAAATGATGGAGAAGAGAGGAGAAGTGAAGAGAAAGGGATAAAGGAGAGGAGAGGGGAGAAGAGAGAGGAGGATAGACGAGGTAGAAAGGATAGAAGAGGAAAGGAGATTAGAGGTGTATATTTGTGCAATGCTATACATTACTTGTATTGTGTTTGGATTAAATTAACTGATGTATTGAGCTAATGAACGTGTAAAGGCTGTTTTTTAAAACATCAGACAATTAGACGGTTTTCCTTTATTTTGAACGCAAATAACTTTTTTGTTTCTATATAATACACATTAAATAATTTCAAAAATGTGTTACAATTTTAGTTTGAAATATCATTATCCTTAATGTTTTATGTACAATTGAATAAAACCACAGGGTTAATAATTCAATTATTATAACATCTCAAATTATTTCTAGATGGATACAAATTAACATCCCCTTACATAAGTTGTATACCACTATAACAGATCTGCAACAAATTCTAAATTTAGGAATGTTTTTAGTATTTTGTTTAGACCGTCAAAGAGCTTCTAATGTATCTGTATAACAATGGTTGCGGTCGTACTGAGTGATAGTGTGGAACACCATTAAAATGTTTGTAATTGAGGTTGGCTTAACATTAGAAATATCTAAATATATATTGGCTGTAGTTTCCAACACTATCGCAAATACATAAACATTTCACATGTAGTTACATTATTACCATTGATTGTGTAAATCCAAACAGAAATTATTATCTGATTGCATTGTATTACTAATGAAGTGGCAACTGAGCATATGATAATATATTTAAACTGCATTTTATTGTCCAAAGATAACTGTTGGGTATAAACTTTATTTCCCTATATTGTAATTTTTTCAGAAACTAACTGTTTTTTTTAAGACTGAGGAATTTTCATTTCGGCATGTCTATCTGTCAGCTCCCACAGGAAGAACTACTTTCAACATGACAATCATCTAATCGTTTGTGATGAAGCAGTGACTCAGCAGAAATGACAGCCTGCATGTATCACACAGTGACTCAGCAGAAATGACAGCCTGCATGTATCACACAGTGACTCAGCAGAAATGACAGCCTGCTTGTATCACAGCAGCTCTGCATGGTGAGATCAGTGCACAGCACTCCCATGCAGCTCACAGCTCCACCTGTGGGGAGGTAGAGGGGGAAGCTGAGGGGTCAAAGGTTAGAGAGTGAGCGATGGAGAAGGGGGGGCAGGGGGGTTGACTGGAACATACTCCCTGAGCTCCTTCCTCCTCCTCCTCCTCATCCCCCCCTTCGAGTAAGATGAGAGGGGGGGCCCGCAAGGCGTATGCCCTTTTCGGTGGAGGGCCGCTCTTCTGTTGCTATGGTAACAGAAGGAAGGGGATGGGAGATAGAAACAGAGGAAGAGGAGATGTACAGAAGAGTGAGATATGGTGGATATAAAGGACAGAATGAGTGAGTTGAAGTATACAAAAAAAAGAGGAGAAAAGTCCTGTAACAGCTAAATCAAGTTCACATGTCATGTTCATGAAGGCTGAGAGAAGTGTCTGAGTCAGCAGTCCGTCTGGATTAGTCTACCTGTCAGCCACTAAACCGGCCTGCGTCACATGTGTCCTGTTGGTCTGTCTGCATTAGGAACTAACACTCTTACATCACTCTGCTGAGCACAGTCAGGCCACTAAGGCTCAGGAGGTAGAGTCATTAACCACAAGGTCGGCGGTTCAATCCCCGGCTCCTCCTGTTGAGGTGTACTCAAAGAGGCCTTATTATGCTTTCTCTTTTTCCTATATCTTCCAATGAAATGACGACCACATTTCCATCAAATGAAATGGCAGGTAGCATCACACATGCTATTGGTTAAATTGAAAAAGGCATTCTTTTGAAAAGGCATTCTTTTTTGTAAGACACTATTATTCTACAGTATTGTTCCATTATAATGTATAAAGAATAAAGCTTGGGTATAATTGTTCTTAAAATATATATATATATATAAAAACAAGGAAACAAAACCACTAGAAATATCCAGATCCAACTCTAATTCTTGAATTGTCCAATATCCGGGTCAAGCCCTTCTTGCATACATTCTGAATACAACATTCCAGTTTGTTCTTCTTGAGCATGAATCGTGTTTTAGCCTGGAGCAAAAAGTATCCTCAAGCTGGAAATGTTTAACGGCCTCTTGAACTCCAGCGTTACTTTTGAAGAGTGTGTTTCACAATCTCAGGACTGTGATGTGATGAAGTGGGGTTGACAGGGAGTGTGATGGATCACAGGAGGAGTGTGTGGAGGAAAAGATTACAGTGTGATGACATGAGTGAGAAAATAATCATGTGTCTGTGCAGTTGTGTGTGAGCGAGATATATAAATCCATACCAAGGTGACTCCAGAGAGGACCTCCAGTAAGGAAATGAGGTTGTGCCCATCCCTCAGGTCCTCGTACAGGTCTGTGATGTGCTTCCTCACCTGGGGAAGGAGGGACGAAAGAGGGAGGGAAGGAAGAGAACAATTTAATCATCCCTCTGTTGACACAACCCTGGTGACCTTTGCCAGGCAGCGGTTGCCGAGACGACAGAGATGAGGCACCAGCTGTGGCTTCTTGTCTCTGTTGCCATGACATTGCCTCCACAGTGAATGGGGTGGGGGTGGGCTGTCACCGGCGGCAACTGCTTATTACACAGTGACTCAGCATCCTGATCAGCATTAGTGCTGGTTTTGTTTGAAAGTGGGTCACTCAGTGAGACAGAAAGAGAGACGGGAAATGTCCTAAGAAGACAGATTGTATTATTATAGGGTCAGCTGTACCTATCTATAATAACAATTCTAAAAGAAAGTTCTATAACTGTTTAATGCTAACACTGACACAACTACTTCTTTATAATCTATGAATGAATGATCCATTTCTCATGTTCAATGTCAAGGGGTTATTCCTAATAAAGAATTTCCAATGAATAAGGTAAAATATTTAAACACTGGCCTACATTATTTAACCTTTTTGACATATTTATTGTTGGATTATTTTCACAGCATCATGTGGTTGTTCCTCCACATGTTGTTCTAAATGGAGGAACTTCTAGTGATGTGATGTTGTAATTATACAGTTTTTGACAAACAGAAATATTGTTTTCTGGCTTCACTTTAAAATGTTACAGGGAATATCTGCATGTTGATATGAGGGCGCACGCCAAAAGTAAGAGGGCGCTGCACACCTGTTACCTGGTTTAGACAAAACCCTGGAATGACAAACAGTATAACAATTATAAAAAAAGTTAAAGAAAGAAAAATGTCCAATAAAAGTAACACATGATGTTATGCCTCATTGCACTGTTACAACAAAGGTAACATGTGGTTATGGAGTGAATAATGAATAGAGACAATATTTTACATAATAATAAGACACAGTTTTTGTTTTGCAAGCTCTTCTATTTTGGTCTGCTTTGACCAGTTTCTGAAGGATAAGCATACGTTACAATACAATATCTGCAGAAGGACACAGCAGTATCAGGCACAGGCAAAGATAAAGCCTTTTTTTTGTAAAATAAATGATTAAGAAAGAGACACACCCAGTTAAAATGCTGATCCACTTATGCTGCCGAGAGCACATGTCTACCTTCAATACAGCAAAATACCTGCTTCTCTGCATCTGCACTGAGAAGAGCTTTACTGCAGTCCTGGCCTCAGGACAATAAACTGTATTGCCACATGTCACCACAAGAGGGTGACACACACACACAAGAGTAAACAGAGAGAAGCTGCAGGGGTCTAATCTTTCCAACAAAGTCATAAATAACAAAATATTATTTCAATAAAACCAAATATCTAATACCTAATTTATATAATGTTAAACATTTTTGATTTAGGCAGGACATAACTCCCTCCTCTGAGCTATAAATGTCTTTGCTTTAACCTCCAGCTACAAAAGTAAAAACATCCCTCCACTTGTCCTCAATAACCCCTTTCCTTTCTTTCCACATTCATGGTCCTCATCTGAGTCACAGTCTCACCCTCCTGTTTCCACACTGAGGGTGACATCAGCTGTTTTAGACAGGAGCTGATGGTACAAGTGTTAATTAGATGTCAGGAAGGAATGAAGTATCCAACACAGACAGGAAGTGAGGTGCTGTGTTTGTCTAATTGTTTCTCCGTGAGTCAGAGGCTGTGAGAAATTAGTCTGAACAAGTGAATCCTTTTTGTCAATGATGTGCTTACTGGAACTAAACCTGGTATCTTTTTAAATCAGCAACCCCGTGAAAAATGTTCAAACAATTACCTAACATATTTACAGGATAGGACAATAGAGTATAGGCCAAACCTGGAATCATTTTAAAATTATAATTGTTTCTAAACTGCTTTGTGTACAATACCTAAAACCACAGTGTCAAATGAGCTAACCTTCAAGGATCATTTAGGCCAGTCAGAAAGCCCCTGCTGCATGACACAAAAAGGTGCAACCGTTAGTTGATAGGGAGAAATATAACTGCTTATATGATAATAAAGTAATATATTAAAGTATTTCATTAAAAAATGGCAGAACATTTGTAATTTGGATATGTTCCAATTTTGTTTGTTTAATATAATATTAAAGTAAATATCTTTGGGTTTTGGACTTTGAGAAACTGGGATGCACATTTTTTTTTAAATTGCTAAAACATGCATTAAATAATCTTGAAAATAATCAGAAGATTATATTTATTTTATTAATAATAAAGATAGCCATTGGCTGTGGCCCTATTTACACAGTGTGTACAGTACACTGTGGTGTGTGATACTCAGTAACTGCATACAACATCCGGTAGGACACGTCTCCTAGTCAGAGCGGAGCACGACTCCTGACATTTCCCTGTGTGTGATTTATTTAATTTTTGCTGTTGTATTTGTTGTTAAGTGTTTTGATTGTAAAGTGTTTTTATTGTATGTACAGCACTTTGGCCCGACCAAAAATCGTTTTAAAAATGTGCTATATAAATAAAACTTGATTTGATTTTGATTTGAATCTAAAATCACTCAGCTGGATCTGTAGATTGTCACTATGTGATGTTATGTTTTATGATCAGGGTGTTATAGCGCGTCTGTGTCTGCTGGGATGTTGCTGACACATCCAGCTGTGTGTGATGAGACGTGACGGCAGCTGTCAGAAGAACGGTTGTTCAGAGCTTACTGTATGTGAAACACTGCGAGGACAAGCACAAATGTAAAATAGCTTCAAATGTGATTTAATAGTTTGACAACTACAGTAGGATGGTAGAATAAATGATGGCAATTATATGAATGCCAATTGGTGTAAATTAAAGCTTTGCAGATTTACATGTTGCTCAATTTAATGTGATTTTATACAATGTGACTCACATACTGTATCTGAAAATCAAAGCAGGAAATATAGTTCTGAACATTATGAGCACATTCGATACAGTTCTGCCTGCATAAGACTTAGCAAAAGTACACCCAACAATCTTGCTGTTTAAGTGTTTACAGGTTATCTCAAGTTTTTTGTGTATCATTTCTTGATTTTCAACATAGCCTACTTGTTTTGAGCCAAATTATGTTTGACTTAATTTAACAAATTAGTTTTGATTTGTTTTAGTCTTGTTTCAATTTAAAACATAAACCAAGTATTTAAAATAGAGACCGTATTCATGGAATAAATACTTTTACCCTTAGAAAGTATTTCAGAATGCAGTTTAGTAAAAGGAAACGGAACGTAGCTAAATAGGCAGGGTTGGATCTAAAAAAATATCGACCAAAATCGCTTAGCTCTGTTTAAAATCAGTACCTAACATTTCACTGTTCTATAATCTGATTAATTCAAACATTATTCATAGTATTCCCATGTGTTTGTCGTCTCAATAGTGGTTTCCTAGTAACAATTGCTGCTGTAGCTGAATTAATTTGATAAGAAAGACAGATATGTGCTTTAGCATCTTGTTAGCTTCGGTGCGGCTAACAGACCTAACCTAACCTTCTTCTCTCTGTGAGAAGCCTCCTCCCTCCTCCTTAATGCAAAGCTACTGGATCTGAGCTCACTGTGTCAACACACTGCGGGTCAGAGAGTCACTGCATGCCAGCAGGTAGCTCGGAGGCCAGTGTTTATATTACACTGTTTGCATTGAACACACACACACACACACACACACACACACACACACACACACACACACACACACACACACAAAACCAAATCAACAGAGCTCAGCTTTCAATATCTGGTTTTGCTACTCTGCCATTTTTCCGGAGTTTTCTATGAGCAAAGAGGTATTTTAAACGCCAATACCCCAGACATTGTGTTCATTTAACTGTGGGAAGATCAAACTTTAGTAATAATTTATAATAGATGATTGGTACAGGCCTAACATAAGAACACATTCAAACACACTCTTCTTCACAGAGCTACTTCTTTGGTTTCCCTATGTAAAGACTTGGTTGAGAAACTGTGGAGTTTCTTTGAGTTCATGGGCTCAAGGTCCTTTTGATAAGATCCTCTATATCTGCAAACGTTGCCTCTTGTAAAGTCCTTAACAGCTATGTTTTAACTTGTGACGTCATTGTGGGTAAACTGAGGTTTCACAGATGAAGCTACAACATGTGTTTGTTTGTTTTCTTTCTCACTTCATGACTGGAAAAAGGCTGCCTGCATGTTAACTACTTTATATAGAGCTCTGTATTTCTTCCGTTCAGTGATTAACCTTCCTCTGAGTCTCTAACTGAAGTGGGATCCAGGCAGACTTCCAGCCTCCGGAGGCCAGAGTGGTGAGACAGCCAGGCCAGGAATAGAGCTTGATGCTGGGCCACAACTGTGTTATCTCCCCCCTCACCACCACCATCACCCCCTTTTCCTCCACACTGATTGAGCCTCTCTTCCTTTCCCGCCTCTGTCTGCTCCTATCAGTCTGGGAGAAAACACAGACCGCTCTCCTTTTCCTTTCCCGCCATTCTCTCATATATCTACTTCCTGCTGGAGGGATAGTTCACATCATTCCAAGTGATGTGGTTACCGAAAACAGTTTTAGTCAATGCAAAATGTAATGTGTGCAATGTATGATAAAAACATGTTCAATAATATTTGTTGGTTATGGAGCAAGTTGGTTACCGGTAGTTTCCTTGATGGACAGAAAAACAATCGACAATCATTTCAAAAAATCTATCAATCAAACATGGAACATATTCTCTGATTGCAGCCTCTCGTTTGTGTTTTTGCTGCTTTGTTTGATTCTTTTTTTCTTTTGCCAGAAAAAAAAGAGACATTTGAAGACATCGCCGGGCCTGTGACATTTTATAATCCCGACAGTTAATCGAACATTAGAGGAAATAAAACTATGAGGAATAGATCATTAAAAATAAGTAAGCTACAGTCCTAAATAGCAATGCTATATATTAGAAATCAAACATATATAAAAGACATATAGTGGTAAAATCTAAACAGAAAAAAAGAATGTAACAAAACAATTATTTGCATTTGTATGTTCT